TTCGTAGCATCCACAAATGGTTAACCATTTTTTACACGATTATAGGATATCAAATCGTCGCGTTGTTCGTATGTTTCCAAAAAAGAAGCAATTACACCAAAAGTTGTCATAAATCAGCGGAACAATTTCAAACATTAATTCAAGCAATTTCGCCAGTTACGATCCCGATTTGTAATTAATACAGACCAAACAGGATGTGAGCATGGAGTTAATGTTTTCGCGAACTTACACGTACACTGGAGAAAAATTAGTTCAATTGTACATAGGCGATTTAAATAAAGTTTCGCATTCATACAACCGCCCAGTATTTGCTGACGAAATCCGGGAAGTTATTAAATAAAGTATTTGTTTGTTTGCAAGAATTTTCTGATAATTTTGGAGTACGCGTACAAAAGATGTAGATAAATTATTAGAATTATGTAAAAATGTTATTACATGTTCTAAATCGGGCAAATTAACAACATCATTATACGCACAGTATTTAGAAAATGTTGTTAAGCCGTATGTCGGGGATAATTTTTATATTTATTGTTGATTCTTGGGGAACAAAAAACATCCAAATGTATAACGAAATATTTTGCGACAAAAATAATAAACCAACATGTAATTACAAATTATATGCCAAAATGTACTCCGATATGTCCGCCGTGCGACGTTTATTTTTATCGACAAGTGAAAATTATAATTAAGAAAATACAAAACTGTCCAGATGTAATTTCACAATCAGATGACGAAAGCAAACAATTAAATACTCGTGCTGATGCGATTCGTATACAATCTTTAACTCATTATCTGTTATCAGCGCCGAAATTTAAATGTATGCTTCAATATGCATGGGTATGCATCCAATTAGCTGACGATAGAGAAATATTTTTAAATGTGAATCAATTATGCTTTCCTTCAAACATTTATAATAAAACATGTGTATGTGAAAAACATAATTCATTTATTAATGTTCGTGGTGCGAAAAAATTTTATGTTTCCAATGTTTTTACATCAACTTTCATCCAAACATTGCGAAGCGATGGAAACCTTTTATCGTATGTAAATAATATATAAATTATAAAAGAAAGTTTATTTGTACAAAATATTCTTGACAAAATAACACATGTACATTGCATGAGAAATATAATCAGTTCATGACTTTAAAACTGTTTTTTATTTCGTATTGCGTTAAATATCCCGAATGTCCTTATTTTTACATAGAAAACAAATAAATTTAAAAAAATAATAATGATTAATGTAGTGTCTTTTATATATCCAAAATTGAAAAAAAAAAGCGAAGCAGTCGTCGGCGGGACTCGAACGCACGACGCCGGCGCAAAAATGTATAACGGGAGCCTTAGTCGGTTCAACTACGCCGCTTACTCGAAAAGGTTTTAATGTTCTTCTTTACATGGGACATAGTTGCGTGACCCTAACTTTGTTTTGTAATTTCTCCTAAACGAAGGCCCATTGGCACAAACGCCTTTAGGGTTTTTATTAGCTACTGTAAACTATCAAACGCACTATGACTCGTTGGAAAAGCATTTCTAATTGGCGTCATCTCCTTGTAAGTCTTCTTATTTTCAAACGGTACATTAGCCATTTTACTTTGGATACAGTTTGCACATTTCATGATATTATTTTCTAATTTATCTGGTAAGCCTTCTACTAATTTACCATTAACCAATTTATTTGAATATTGAAAATTTACATGACCTAACGCTCTATGCCATTTTTCTTTATCTGTCAGTTTCACTGCATTTGCATATATATCATTTTTTTCATTATCGTAAAAAAAAACTTTTCATGATGTACAAACCATTACTCTTATCGGCAACAGCTGTTAATTTTCTATCTTTATTATAAATTTTAGCAATGTGTTTCTCTAGCTACAATAGTATTGTTTTCAGTTATTTTAGAAAGACTCAATAAGTTCCTTTTTATACCTTTTACAAATAAACATTTTTCAAATCAACTTCTACTTCATTATAATAATTTTTGAAATAAGTTTTGACTGTACCTAACTTTGTTGCTTTCATATTTTTTCCATCAGGTAATTTTACATCAATAGGACTTTTTAATTCAACGTACTTACAAAAATACTCCTTGTTGTTGATAATGTGGTCTGTACAACCACTATCTAACAGCCACTCAATTTCGTTATCATTTCTATTCACATTTTCATTACATTATTTACATTTACTTTAAACAACTTGCGTTGCCCATGACTCTTGTGAATTCTTCTTGTAATTCTCGTTGGATGGTCCTGCCGCTTGATGACCTTGTCCTCTGCCTCGACCATAGCCTCTTTGCGTCGTACTCTCACCTTTGCTCAGTTTTTTTCTTCAATTTTTGTTTTGACATACTCGACGGTTCTTTGCTCTTCGGTACTAGATCAATAAAATCTCCAATGTAGCAGTAATTTGGTGGTAGAGCTTTAATTAAATATCTCATTTTTTCTTCTTCTCTTAGTTGTCCACCAGCTGATTTCAGCTCGTTACATGCCTTTTCAAATTCAACAAAAAATTCTTCCACATTACTGTAATTCTTCAACTTGACTTCTTCTAATTTTCCCTCGGTTTATTATTTTGCAGAGATGTCGATTTTGTTGAATACATCTTTTCTAGCTTTGACATCATCTCAAACGTCGTTTTACATTCGCTAATGTATTCCAATTGCTTATCTGACATAGCACTGATTAAAATGGTTTTTGCTTTGAGATCACTTTTCTTCCAAGCATCTTCGTTATCAGTAGCAGCTCTTTCCTCTTCTTGCCGGTTCTTGACAATCTTTATATTCTAAAATGGTCGTGAGTCGGAATTTCCAACTTGCGAAATTTATTCCATCAAACACTGGAATACTTATGTCGTCGATTTTTGCTTGCCTAGCCATTTCTTCTGCTTCTTTAGTTTTCAAATTCTTGTCGATTTCAATTTTCAAAATCACAGTTTTTTTCAATATTTTCAGGAAACTTTTTCTCAAAAAATTTCTGTCTTCTTTGTTTAGCTTGAAGTCTTGAATTTTTAGTTGTTGCTCAAGTTCTTCAGTTTGTGTTTTATCTCCCGAAATTAAATTTTTTATCTTTGATTTTTGATCCGCAAACATGTGCTTAGCCACTAAATCTCCATGTGCTCACTCAATCCTCACGTCAATCACGTGATTTTCACCAATACTTACGGATGTTTTTCAGCAACCACGCTCTGCTACTATGTTTTAATTACTGCTTATCTTTATTATTTATTTTATTTATTGTTTGAGATGTTAAGTAAATTTTTGTAAATTCTAGAATTTTCCATCCGCGTCAATAATAAAAGTCACGGTCTTTTTTTGTATTTTTGTCACGGAAAAAAGTTGTCATAAATTAAACCTGTCATCTCATAAACATTCTTTGCACACAAACAATTAACGGTATCACACCGTTCCGCCGCCGAATATTATTTTCAGTGAGCATGCGCGGCTTACCACGGGCGCCTCTTTTCACCAATAATTATCGCGATCGCCCGCGCGCGCATGCTTTCTGCCAGCCGTCTTCCGTTAATTTTGACAGCGGCCAATAATGAGCTGTGCCCTCGAGTCACCTCGAGCACACTTAAATTGCTCGCAATAATTGGCGCTTCCCGAAAAAGTGGGTTTTCTCTTCGGAACCCATAAAAGAGAGCTCGCACCCGAAATCCGGGCCTTATCGCTTTCCGTAGTGACCGCATAACGCAACCGCATATTATTCTGATCCGCTAAAATCTCGTTGACGACCGCCGCTTATTCCGCACTTTGTTCTCGATTAGATTTTCACTGAATATTTAAATGTTATAAGTCTTGTTCAAGTAATTTGTAATTAAGTTGTATTGAAAGTAAACTTTTTTAATACAAAAGAAAGGGTGACTTATCCTATTGTGTCGCGCGATCCTCTCTCACGCAGCGCGTTTGCGAACATATTTCTGGTCCTTCGAGCCGGATCCATCGTGCCGGCATCCGCAAGTTTGTGAACGTGTCTCTTGGTGCGGTCAGTGAGCTCGTAGTTCGACATGGATGTGAACACCTTGATCGATTGCCAACGTGAGGTCCAAGTCCGTATTTCACGCTCCGTGGAATACTTGAAGAAGCTGGGCACGACCAACATCATCGCCAGTGCCGTATCTACGCGCATCAGGATCCTAGATCAGCTGTGGACGAAATTTGAGGCCCAGCATGATCTCATTCGCGCGGCTCTGAAAGAGAAGTTTAGTGACAGCGAATACTTCAAGTCGGAGTTGCATGGAGATACTGAAAATCTTTACGTGGCACAACGCAGTATCCTGGATGGCTACGCTGAACATTTCCGGAAGCCAAACGTATCTCCATCCGTCGACGTCGCATCAAAGTCGTCGCTGCCGCGCATCAAGTTGCCGCCGTTTTCTGGCGCCTACGCTGATTGGCCGTCATTTCGTGATCTCTTCCTGTCCGTTGTGAGCAGCAATTCCATCTCAAACATCGAGCGTCTTCACCACCTCCGCTCGTGTTTGACAGGTCAGGCTGAAAAATTGATAAGATCACTACCTGTCACAAGTGACAATTACGATCGCGCTTGGGCAATCTTGAACAAGCATTACGACAACAAAAGAGAATTAATCCGCTCCAACTTTGCCACGTTTACCGCCGTGCCAAAGATGAAGGGAGATACCGCCGAGGAGCTGAGCCGCATCCACAACGCTGTCACCGCCGCCATCAATGCACAGGAGAGTATTGGACGTCCTATCAACTCGCACGGGATGGACCTGTTCAATCACCTGGTCATCGAATTGTTCGACGCACGCACTCGTCTCGAATGGGAGTCAGCCACGTCAGACTCCACCGAACCACCACAGAACGAGGCACTTCTCGACTTTATTAGTCGACGGGTATTGACCCTCAACGCCGCACGACCGAGGAGTGTCACAAAGGGAACTGGAGAGGCATCGCGATTCGCCAAAGCGCACGTCACCAGACATCAAGGCACAGATTCGCCTCAGTGTGCACTGTGTCGTGAAAAACATACACTGATGACCTGCAAGGAGTTCAAGGCCAAGACCGCGGTCGAACGGAAAACATTCGTGGAGACCAACCGACTGTGCTTCAACTGCCTGGGCAATCACTTCTTGTCACGGTGTCAATCAAAGAAGAATTGCCTCACTTGCAACGCACGACACCACACCATGCTGCACGGGGCATCCACGTCACCACCGTCCGCTGAGGCCACTTCACTTGCCACCACACTGGCCACCTCACGGCAGTGTGAGAGTCACAAGGCCGTCCTTCTTGCAACTGCCCGCGTCAAGGTCGCGGACCGCTACGGACCACACGAGGTTCGAGTCTTGATCGACCAGTGCTCCGAGGTGTCCATCATCTCTGAAGCGCTGGCTCAACGTCTTCGTCTTCCTCGAGCTTCGACGAATCTGTCCATCTTTGGCATCGGAGGGACTCGCTCTGGATCGGCTCGTGGCAAAGTCACCCTGGACATCACATCCGACGTGACCAACGCCGAGCTTCGCGTGGTCGCCTTTGTGTTGCCTCGCATCTCACTACAACAAGGCACCGCTCAACGCGAGAATTGCAGCTGGCCTCACATCCAAGGACTCCGGTTGGCCGACCCGCGGTACCTGGATGACGACCCTGCGGAGCTACTTCTTGGTGCAGAGGTCTACTCGTTGATCCTTGAGGAAGGCCTTCGCAAGGGCGACTCACGCATGCCGATCGCCCAGCAGACCAGCTTGGGATGGATCCTGTCCGGAGGCTACGACTCAGCAGTCACCGACGGACATCGCCGCACGTTTCAGTGCACCGCCGACAACGACCTCGCTGACCTGGTGCAACGATTCTGGGAGCAGGAACGCGAGCCAGCAGCTGGGATCGTGCTCACCGCCGACGAAGCCAGATGCGAGGACATCTATGTGCGCACAGTCACACGCACGTCCAGTGGAAGATACGTGGTGAGGCTGCCATTTGCCTCACCGCCGACATCACTCAGCGAAACTCGTCGACCTGCAGAGCGCCTCCTGGAAGCAATGGAGCGGAAGGGAGCCCGTGATGCTCGGTTCGGTGATCTCTATCGAGACTTCATGGACGAATACGAAGACCTGCAACACATGGAGAAGTTAGTACGTCTACTACAGGTTCTGGCCCCAGGTGCTACTTACCGCATCACGGGGTCCTCAAGGAGTCGAGCACGACCACGAAGCTCAGGGTTGTGTTCAACGGCTCCCAACGCACACGGTCCGGAGAGTCGCTGAACTCGCACCTCCTCACTGGAGCTAATCTCTTGCCAGCACTCGCTGACGTCTTACTCCGTTGGCGTTGGCATCGGTACGTTTTCGTCACGGACATCGAGAAAATGTACCGACAAATTCTTGTGCATCCGGAGGATTGTCGCCTGCAAACCATCCTGTGGCGCCACAACAACTCAGACAACATCCGCGAGTACGAGTTGAAGACCGTGACCTACGGACTGGCGTGCGCACCCTTCCTCGCCATCAGGACGCTTCACCAACTTGCTGCAGACGAAGAGGCACGATATCCACGCGGAGTCAGGGCGCTGCGACAAGACTGTTACGTCGACGACGTGGTCACCGGTGCTGACAGCCTGGCGGATGCCATCAAACTCCAACAGGAACTACAGAGTCTCTGCATGGCGGGCGGATTTCCTTTGCGAAAGTGGGCTGCCAACAATCAACAGGTGCTCACCGGAATTCCGCCGGAACATCGGCTTCAACGCGGACCGCGCTCGTGGGAAGGAGAGAGCCACGCTACCCTGGGTCTTCGATGGCATCCTCAAGGGGATTGGTTCTCCTTCACCATACGTCCGCGTTCAACCACCGACCTCACGAAGAGACGAGTCTTGGCTGAGACAGCTCGACTATTCGATCCGATGGACTGGCTAGCGCCTGTCGTCATCCGAGCCAAAATTCTGATCCAGTCTACGTGGCTTCAACGGCTGGATTGGGACTCTCCGCTGCCTGATCAGGACGCACACCGCTGGAGACAACTGTTGAATCAACTTCCGTTGCTGGATCACATCCGTGTGGATCGTTGGCTCAGCACCGGAGATGACCAGTCGCAATTGCAGCTCCATGGGTTTGCCGATGCATCGGAGCGAGGATACGCCGCCGTCGTGTACATCCGCAACGCTGCAACAGAGAAGACATCAATTAATCTGCTGATGGCAAAATCGAAGGTCGCACCAGTCAAGCAGGTGTCGTTACCTCGATTGGAACTTTGTGCCACTGCATTACTCACCACGCTCATGCTGCATGTACGCACTACCCTCGGCTTGGCTGCTACGCCGGTGCACCTGTGGTCTGATTCTAAGGTCACCCTTCACTGGATTCGCGGACACTGCACCCGCTGGAAGACCTTTGTTGCCAACCGAGTGTCGCAGATCCAGACCCTGCTTCCAGACGCTCATTGGAGACACGTCGCTGGACGAGAAAACCCTGCAGATTGTGCATCGCGTGGTGTTACACCTGAGGACTTACGCAATCATAAACTGTGGTGGACAGGACCTACCTGGCTGTCAGGAGACGAGGCTGCCTGGCCTGGTGCAAACATCGACGTCCCAGAGGATGACCTCCCTGAGCAACGAGTCACCAGCCTGGTAGTCAAGGCGCCAGTCACTACCGAACCGGACCTTCTTCTGCGGTTCCCGACGCTGCAACGGCTGCTGCGAGTCACTGCGTGGTGTCGTCGATGGCTCAACCCGGTGAGACGTGACGCCAGACCTGGCCGTCCATTGCAGCCTGACGAGCTGGACTCCGCGCTGTTTCGATGGCTGCGAGTGGTGCAGGCGCTCCACTTTCCGACGGACGTAGCCGCGGCCTCTGCTGGACGCACTACTCCACCGCAAAGCCACCTGGTGAAGTTGAGTCCGTTCCTCGACGATCAAGGCGTACTGCGCGTCGGAGGACGTCTCAAAAACTCTCAACTTCCGCTCGACGAGAAACATCCGATGATCATCCCGGCGGCATCCTGGCTGACTCGGCTGGTGATCGATTCCTGCCATCGACGGACACTGCACGGGGGTGTGCAGCCGACACTCGGCCTGCTCCGCCTGCGCTTCTGGGTACCTCGAGGAAGAACCGCCGTCAAGCAGCAGCTACATCGATGCGTTACCTGCACTCGATGGCGTGCTGCCACGCCACAGCCTCAGATGGGTAACCTTCCTCGGGACCGAGTAACGCCAACCCGACCGTTCCTCAGCACCGGCGTGGATTACGCAGGACCCATCCTCCTTCGGACCAGCAAGGGACGTGGACACCGCGCGCACAAAGGGTACATCGCAGTCTTTGTCTGTTTCTGGTCGAAGGCCACTCACTTGGAAGTCGTCTCCGACTACACCTCCGAGGCTTTCATCGCCGCTCTGCGCCGCTTCGTCTCCCGCAGGGGCCTCTGTGCTGAGATCTACAGCGACTGCGGCACGACATTCATCGGGGCAGATCGTACGCTGCGAGGTCTCTTCGATGCAGCGACAGCCGAAGGTCATCGTATCGTCCTCGCCGCCACCGCTCAAGGAATCCGCTGGCACTTCAACCCGCCAGCGGCCCCGCACTTTGGTGGTCTTTGGAGGCTGCAGTGAAGTCGACCAAGTTCCACCTCCGTCGGGTGATCGGCGAGACGACCCTCACGTTCGAGAAGCTGAGCACACTCCTCGCCCAGATCGAAGCTTGTCTTAATTCTCGTCCATTGCAGGCACTCTCAGATGACCCAGAGGACGTCTCGGCGTTGACTCCCGGTCACTTCCTCGTCGGGGCGCCGCTACTCGCTGTGCCGGAACCGTCATTGACAGGGCAGACGGTATCCACCTTGTCACGCTGGCGTCATTTGCAGCAGATGAGAGATCACTTCTGGCAGCGATGGTCGTCCGAATATTTGCACGGACTAGCCTCGCGCACCAAATGGCTCAAGGACGAAGCTGCACCCCACGTCGGCGATCTCTGTCTCGTGCGCTCCGAGCTCACCCCACCGAGCCGATGGCCACTGGCTCGCATATCGCGACTGCACCCCGGGGACGATGGGATTGTACGCGTGGTGTCAATCCGAACGGCCACGTCCGAGCTTGTGCGCCCACTCGTCAAGCTTGTTTTCCTCCCGGGCGTGAACGACGCACCTACACCGCACGCTGACACTTCGTAACGTCACTCATTACACAATCATCACATCATGCATCATAGCATCTGTCGCACGTCACTCATCTCATCCACCACCGCACAAAAAAAAATTATTTCGTTATCACCGCTCACTGCATTACACACTCGCCGTTCACATCAACCACGCGTTTTCACCGGATCAGCTGATTATTTCACTCCACGCGTTCACCACGTGCCCTCATCGGCTCAGCTGATCGATTCACACCACGCGATCACCACGTGTATTTCGCCGCGCCGGCGCGCCCGCCCCACCATCGATCGCTATCGGAATGTGATCCGCGCCGGAACCACCACCAACCTTTGTCACGTTGCGATAAGGCGGGCGGGAATGTTTGAGATGTTAAGTAAAATTTTTGTAAATTCTAGAATTTTCCATCCGCGTCCTTTCCAATTTCATAAAACTTGTAACAAACGTAATAAAAAACAACAAAATCGGAATGATCCTGACAGATCAATATCCGGGAATCAATTCCCAAGAATTTAAGAAATTCCTAGAAGAAAAAAAAATACCGATTATTTTTACGGCGGTAAAGACACCATTTTCGAATGGTATAAACGAGAGACTAAACCAAACACTAATCAACAAAATAAGATGCAAAATAAATAAAAGACGAACAAAATCAGCTTGGACAACAATAGCACAGGAATGCACAAAAAAATACAATCAGACGATCCATACAATAACTGGATTTGCACCCGCATATTTACTAGAAGGAAAGAACATTACAATTTTACCAGAAAAAATAAACCAAGAAAATACACCAAAGAACTTGCTAAAAGATCGAGAATTAGCCTACAAGAATAGTATAAAATCACATGAATACAATAAAAAACTATTCGACAAAAACAAAAACAAAGTGGAACTAAAAGAAGGAGACTCAGTATTCGTAGAAAACGGGAACAAACTAAACAGAAGAAAATTAGAAGAATTAAGAATAGGACCATATAAAATTCTGGAAAAAGTATCCAAATCAATTTACAAAATAAACACCGGACACAGGAAAACAAATTCAACATTATTCCACATAATAAAACTGACCCCAGCACCACCGGCAACAATACAGATAGAAGACACACAAAACATAGAAGAGAACGTGGCTGTTCTGTTTCCAGACAACTCTAGGGGATGACTTTTCCCTAGGAGGGAAAATGTAAAGAAAGTGTATTTCTTCAATTAGAATCTGCCGCTCAACGTGGCCATAATCAGTAAATATCAGATGATAAGCGAAAACCGATTTTACCGTCGCGTGAGAGAGGTAGAGTAAAATATAGAGAATTAAGGAAATAAGGGATAAGCACGTGTATGTGAAAGTGATAAGAGGAGAATTACACCAAGGAATAAACTTTAATGTCGTTTCGTTATTACAGAAACTCAGTACTGCTTATTTGATAGTGTGGGACCCCTTAACCTCAATCCATAAAGAAATACCATTATATATATATATATATATATATATATATATATGGTATTTCTTTATGGATTGAGGTTAAGGGGTCCCACACTATCAAATAAGCAGTACTGAGTTTCTGTAATAACGTGTAATAAACTGTATATATATATATATATATATATATATATATACAGGGTGTATCATAAGTCACACCGCATTTCTGGGGAATGAATTTGTCAAGTCAAAATAAGTCAAAAATAAAGAATGACAAAATTACGTTTGAGCCTTCTTTAAAGAGTTGCTTTAATAGACAGACCAATGCTACAGCGAGTGATAAATTATCTTTTAAATTCGTGCTAATTTGTTCATTTAAGTTAATGGCGGATTATTTGAACACCTTATGTAATTTCAACCTTGTTGTCTATTTATTAGTTAATTTATGTTATGTTTTCAACTTACAATTAAATAAAAATAAATTTTACTCCAAATAAATTTTTCGTTTATTTGATGTCACTCTTTAAAGAAAGCTCAAACGTAATTTTGTCATTATTTATTTTCGACTTATTTTGACTTGACGAATTCATTCCCCAGAGATGCGGTGTTACTTATAATACACCCTGTATATATGTATGTATATATACACACATATATATGTACATGTATATACAGGGTGTCTCGCAACGTGATGTCCATACTAAAACTTTGTATTTTTAGTGTCATTCTAAGTCGAAAAATCTTAATATACATATGCTCTAAGTCAATTGTTTTAATATTACAGCGAAAAAACAAAATTGCATTAAATAAGAACAATATTAAGAGTTTAACAAGGCTTTGTAATATAAATATAAATTTAAAGATCTAAGACAGGCAATAAGAGCCAACTCGCGGATGACAGTGCGTTATCCTAACGAAACTAAATTTTTCATCCGCGAGTTGGCTCTTATTGCCTGTCTTATATCTTTAAATAAAACAATATTATTTATTAAAGATAAGAATATTATTTATTGAACAATAATATTAAATAATATAAAATTTTTATGAATTAAAATACAATAAAATTTAAATATATTGTTATAGTCCGAATGACTATAACTATATTATATTAAATATAGTTTTAATAATAAATTAGTAAGTCGGCTATTATACAATTATTTGAGAAACGTTCTCACGCTCTCGCGAAGCGCTTATCGCGAAAAGACGCAAACGCGATGAAATATAAGCGTTACACCAAAAACCGCGGATCGCAAGCGAAGAATCAACCTGCTTCGCTTGCACCTAGATAAAAGCGTGTGAATAAAAATTAGCCAATGAAAGAGCTTCTCTACACCTTCCCCCGAAAGATGTAGAAAAGGGCAGGAGACCACCGCGAACGAAGAGCGAGGCGATGAAGTGAGTCGCTAACGAAAATCCAAAAAGTCAAGTCGCTAATTAGAACCTAACTAGGAGTCGAAGACAAGCCGCAGAATATAAACTATCACCTGTAATCTGACTATCGAGAGCGAGTATACTTAACTAACCACCCAGGTGGGATTATACAGAATTAAACCAACTCAAGAAATAAGGGAAATAAAAGATTTATTCAGATAAGCAAGCGAAGTTAGTCAAAGTGGAGACGCCCGCCGATCCTAGGATCCTCATCCTTCAGTCGACTGAGACCCCAAAATTTTCCGTGCCTTCCCGGAGGCACAACAATATACAATATATATAAAGTTCATATTTATAATAAATGCAAATTAAACTTTTCTTTAATTTACGATAATGCTTCTCTTGTATTAAAATATAGATTTTATAGTAAAAGCTATTTTAAGTTTTGCTTTAAAAAGGTGCAACACAAATTGCAAAAAAAATGTTGATTTTATATTATTAGCATAACAGTAGGTGCATAATCTTTTATTATCATTTTCCAGAACTTTGATATCAGGAGACGCGGTAGTGTCTCCGGCCATGTTCAAACCCTAAAAGACCTTAAAAGACACTACAAGTCTCCTTATCCTGCACCATCAAAGTCCATTTTTTGGGGGTGTAGAACTACTAAAATATAAAAAATTTTGAATTGCACGTAATATAACCTGAAAGGCGGCATCGCCACGAGTAATTTGAGCCAAGAAAAAATAAAATCGGTCAAGCCGTTCTGGAGATACAAGCGGTCAAAAAGTGACGTTTTTCATGAAAAATGAAGTAACGTCGTCTTCTTCTTCTTCTTCTTCTTCTTCTCTGTCCGCGTATAAATCTCTTCTCACCTTTTACTCACACCTCCCTCAACTTCCACCCACCCCTTTCCCTCCCACATCCCGCTCCCACCCGCCCTTACCCCCACCCCACCCCACTTCCACCACCACTTCCACCCCTCTTTCGCCTCTTTCACCCTCTTTCGTCCTCTCTCCTCTTTCGTCTCTCTCTCCACCCTCTTTCGCCCTCTCTCACCCTCTTTCGTCCTCTTTCACTCTCTTTCATTTTCTCTCACCCTCTTTCACCCTCTTTCATTCCCTCTCACCCCCTTTCGTCCTCTTTCACCCTCTTTCGTCCTCTCTCACCCTCTTTCATTCTCTCCACCCTCTTTCATTTTCTCTCACCCTCTTTCACCCTCTTTCATTCCCTCTCACCCTCTTTCATTCCCTCTCACCCTCTTTCGTCCTCTTTCACCCTCTTTCGTCCTCTTTCACCCTCTTTCGTCCTCTCCTCACCCTCTTTCATTCTCTCTCACCCTGTTTCGTCTTCTTTCACCCTCTTTCATTCTCTCTCACCCTCTTTCGTCCTCTTTCACCCTCTTTCGTCCTCTTTCACTCTCTTTCGTCCTCTCTCTCACCCTCTTTCATTCTTTCTCACCCTCTTTTACCCTCTTTCGTCCTCTTTCACCTTCTTTCACTCTCTTTCGTCCTCTCTCACCCTCTTTCATTCTTTCTCACCCTCTTTCGCCCTCTCTCATCCTCTTTCGACATCTTTCACACTCTTTCGTCCTCTCTCACCCTCTTTCGTCCTCTTTCACCCTCTTTCGTTCTCTCTCACCCTCTTTCGACCTCTTTCGTCCTCTTTCACCCTCTTTCGTCCTCTCACCCTCTCTCACCTCTTTCACCCTCGTACGTCCTTTCTCACCCTCTTTCGTTCTCTTTCACCCTCTTTCGCCTATCTCGTCTTCTCTTACCCTCATTCGTCCTCTCTCACTCTATCTCCAAAAAATCATAAAAATGAAAAGGTCAAGCCATGTTCAAAAGAAGGTCCTCAAAAATTTAAACCTAGTCTGTACAATGAAAAATAATTACTCGTAATTCCAGAGTTCCAATTTGTTAATATCGAATAATGTATTTGTTTCAAGTAATGGCAGTAGAGTCAAATACATACCTACGTATATGCAGTTTTTGCTGTTAATTGTACTTGAACGAAAAAAATAATTAAATGATTTAAATATAGCACATTTTAAATAAAAAAACTTATATAATCGAACTCTGTTTAGGAAAAGGTAGAACATTTCATTTGCCTCTGCCTTTACAAGAAACATTGGATAAGGTATGTCCTCCGGAAGATCCTATAAATTTGAATCACGAGTTGCACATTCTCGTTCGAGGTATACCCAAGAAATCTAAAGTGGTTTGGGAAA